TAAATCAGCTTGTATACGTAATGCACAAATTCTTTGACAATGATCCTTATACATATAGATTGGAAGGTTTGAACCGTTCGTACGTCTGACACCATAAATCCAAATAGGGCAGAGACAACATTCGTATAAAACTATAATAAGAGTCATCTGTATGATATATAATATGCAATTTGAATTGAAGGAGTGGTTTTATTTGATATAGTCGCTGCTATTGAGTTTTATATTAATGTAAACAAGATGGATGCTAACCTTTTTGTCTAATGTCAAGCCGTTATATTTAACTTAACAAAAAAATGATTTAAGAAAGATCTAAATGTATTACGTTTTGAAATTTTAAACAGTCTCATAATATTTATGACTCGTACATTTAAATGCGTAATTTGGTATTTTGTACAATAAAATAAATAATAATGAACGAATAAAGGTATAGTTAAGTGAATGAAATTAAATTAAACGTTTGACGTCGTTTCTTAGATCCAAGTTTTTAAATATAAATTAAATAACACCATGGCTTGAAGCACTGCAATTTCAATGAAAATGTATCAACACGATCACTCATTTTTTTATTTAGTTAAACGCAAACTGAATCAACTCCACAGTTTTTCATTCTAAATGCTTCTAAATAAAAATATACAAATTCAAGAGAGTACAATTTTATGGACTCATAGAAATAAATTAAACTTGGAATTACAGGTGTTCGAAAATTCTTCGGACGAATCTTGGATCATAATTTATATTTAGATTACTGATTTAAAAATAATAAGATTTGTTTTAAAAATGAGTATCACGTCGAATATACTTAATTTTGAATGTAGGATTTCAAACGGTTAATTAATTATAATTTCTGATCACCTGATTTAGATTAGAAAGAGATTGGCAACCTTTGTAATTAGCTGGACGTGAGCCACTACATAAAGTTCGCTCTTTTTGGCACTGAGTGGAATCATGTCCTTCACCACATACCTATGATTTTGATTATAATCAATAGCATATATGACTGCTAAAACTGCTTTAAGGCCTATATATAAAAAAGACTTTTTGGTTATTTTTTTCAATTTATGTACCTACTTATTTTGTTACTTTCCTACAATTTAAGAATTGAGATACAAGAGCAGTTAATATTTGAGTGATTTAGTTGAACTTCTATAATATTATAACCATATAACATACATAACAGTGAAATTTTTTATTTGAGAAGAAAAATAATATAGTGTTTTCGGGCCTAAATAAATATAAGAAAGCTTATTAGGATTTTATTATTAAAATTCATAGTGTAGGTTTTTTTATTAGTATTGTTATTATAATTTCATAAGTAAATAGAATTGTAATACCGCAGTTTAAAGGTGATAAACACAAATTGGATTTTAAGATGTTTTTTTTTGCTCAAGGTAAGTTATTATCAGTGTTAAATTCTAAGGCGACAGGTACAACATTTCCTGTGCCCTAACATGCTTTTTAATTTCTTCTAAATTAGGCAGTGTGCGTAAGGGACTGTGTGTTGTGCTTTAGAAAATTTAAAGACAAGTGAAAAATTACTAAGCACAAATGCAATTATAATTTAATTTAACTCTATAGTAATAATATTTAATTGACCATGAATTATGATATATTAATATTATGTCTAACATAAATCATAACTACATAATAACAAAAAAGTCTAATTAAAGTTAACAAATCGATGTAATATTATACATTTTGGGAGAAAAAAAATGCAAGAAATAAACGCGTACACAGAGGCAGACAAATGAATAAACTTTTTTGTTTTTTAATGAAGAGTATTTGAGTCAAAATTTTTTTTTAGAAAAATTATATTTTCATTTAAGCTTAAAAGTTGTTTTTTAAATATAAGTTTGGTTAAAATAGAATATACTTAAGTTCAAAAACTTTCTGTTATTTTTTATTTCAAGATGAAATCTTAAAAGATTAAACATTTTGAAAAATCACTTTTACACGATACATGACTAATGTAATATATTTATTATTTATGTTTCAAAACGGGCCTTGGTCCATATACATCGCACAGATTACTTTAAAATTAAATAAAAATAAAAAATAAATAATGTTTTGCTTAGAAAAGTAAAATACATTTCAATTTAATTCATAATTTCATTAAAAATATCAACATTACAGTGTTTTAATGTTTAGGTAGTTTTCTATTAATTAAAACATTGAATGCAAAGCCGCATTATAATAATAATAATCTGGTAGTTATAATCTACTTATAAACTGATTCACTAATCTAGATCATAAGTGATCACAATACATTCACACTAGACCTCTAATCTTTAAATAGGAATGGAACCGAAGTTTTTACACGAGTAGGTAATCCTACATTCCTACAATCTTCTAGAGGATTCTATAAGTCTTAAAATTGTAAAAGATAAATCTTAAAGCAAGGTTCGCGTTGTCTGCAAAATAAATTACCCATTTCCACTTGGTACTTATCTAAACATTTCGAGTAAAAGTTATCATACATTTTTCTATTTTAGATTAAATTGTAAAAAAAAAATTCCTTAAATGCATAGTATAATTTTTCATACAATATATTACACAGCGTTTCCTGTTTGGATTTTTAAATCGCATGTAATTTGTATAACCGCTGAGAATGATTTATTTAGAAAAAATTGATGTATAATGCTAAAAACTAAAATGTGATATACATTGAACGATAACAGGAATAATATTTACACTTACCTGGATAAAACTGAAGATGATTTATTGTCTCAGTGCATTGTATGAATCTGAAATACCACTATAATAAAATATCGATTTACGTCCGAATATATTAAGTACCGTTTGATATTATTTTTGTTATTTTTTACTCACAGTTTATAGAATGTCAAAAAATAATTTACGGTTAATGCAATATACTCTCTATATTTAATAGCAATATTAAACGACATTGTACACATATTTTTAAAATATAATCTGTTTTAAATACAGAAATTAAATATGTCACTACTTCCCTATAATATGCATGATTTTTACAATAGATGCTCCATCTCGTTATTAAACACAATTGTAATTATTGGATAACTCTGATAACGAAAAAAAAAAATACCAATCATTTTACAATCTTTTTATTTTAATATTATATAACAACGATTTGTGAAAAATAAAACGAATGAAAAAAAAATACTAAAACTAATCCATGGATTATTTCGAAATACTCTCAAAAAGACATTCATAACCAGTTAACTAAGCACTTTTTTGATGAACGACCTAATTTTGTAATTTTTTTTTCTAAATCCTATCCATAACGAATTTTTAATGATCCATAATCAATCACATTGCGCATAAAAAATATTCAATCAGTTCGACCTCATTATACGTAATTACAATTGTCACTGTGTTTTTATTCACAGCAGTGTCTAAACAAAAAAACCATATTATTATTAATTATTTATAATTATTATTTATTTAACTCATGGGTAGGTTCTGAGAATGTCTGGGACCTCGTATTTTTAATTTATGTATATTTTTATTACAATAAATTTTTTGTAGCTAAATCTTTAATTTGCATAACTAATTTATTAGATACTTTAACGAAACATTTGACTAGAATAGAATAATGGATTGCAATGGAAATGTATTTTTATTTGATTTTACAATTGACAACTTTATTTTGAGAACAGCAAAATTATAATTCTGTTCGTATAAATTCAATTTTTAGTTATATTTATAACACAAAAGAATTTTTTTATTTTTCTTCTCCTCTAAAGATCAAATAATATGTAACACTGGTGGAAAATTGTACATTGGACCAAGCTGTACATTTTATAATATAGGTAGGTACTTGTTATGAATTTAAAATACATTTTGTGACCTTCCTGTGCTCGAATTAATACTTTATGCTCCAATATCTAACAATAAACATTTTAGTATAAAGTCTGAAACGTTTAGCAAAAACTGATTTACCTGTAAAATTAAAAATAAAATAAAATCGCTGGCACTATAATTTATTGTAATTTTTATTTAATAAAAATACATTAAAAAAAAATCCATCAAACGATATTTACTCAATATTTGCATGTAGGAGGTTACAGGAGAAAATTGAAACACCTACACGATGGCTACTCTTAATAGTTAATTTATTACGATAGATGTTAAATCAAATATCATGTGCTATACTTACTATAAACATTATATTTCGAGTATATTGCCGGTATCGAAAACGAAACGAAATGATTTATCGAGAAAAATATGGTTTTCTGTTTGATTTTGAAAAAAACGAATCTTAAATACCTATCTGAACAAACCTGACATTCATTTACTGTAACTGGTTTTGGTAATAATCGTACTACGGCAGAAAGCTGGTACAAACGCTTCAAGTATTTCATTCTGAACCTTTACCGCAGTTTTGTTGCGCTAGAAATAAATAACTAACAAATATTATAATATTGTTATTATCTCTCGATATCATTCCTGACCGCGCATAGTTTTCAACGTTTGTTTACTTCAAGAAGGTAATAATTATTCCGCACAAAAAAACATACATACCGTCAAGGTTTAAGGAAAACTGTCGACCAATATGTCACTTTGCATAAGTTTATGTTTATCGTGAAAAATTAATACGAATTTATAATAACATTAAGTAGTTTATTTGTATAATGTACAACACGAAAACCGTTCAAAACTTACTTGGAAATCGCATAATATTATAACTTATAATCATGCGCATATGATAATAAAAACTTCGAAGGTAGGTAGTAAAAGATTACTCAATCCGTTTTCGACCCACTGTCGCGGCAATACACAAATCTTTTATAACATGCACTGCGTATTAAAATAATGATTTGAGAAATTCTACCAATAATAGTAGTTGTATACAGCCACACCGGGTACTAATAATATTGTAAGGTGCTCATTTTTGTTTTCAATTCGATATTGATACTTCTTTTAAAAACGTTAAATCTCGATAATACCCACAGCAGTAATTCGGTATGGACAAAAGACTTGTCTGTACTATATCTTGATGGTAATAATAATACATAGTAAGGTACAATATTAATACATTATATTATTTTTAAAAATATATTCTTTACACATAAAGTTGAATACAGAAAACTTATCATAATATATAGTACGATACCTATATTCGTTGAATTATACACGATTATATAATATAACGCACGTTATAATTATAGGTTTTTATAATTGTATACATTTTACAGACGACATATTTGTGATGTGGATATTATTTAACTATTATTATCTAACCTATAGTATGCGTGGTTACACGAATAAACTAAAATGATACAATCTAGTGTACATCAATGGCCGTTTTTGCCTTTGGGTGCGGTGGTGGACAGCTGGACATGGGTCTCGCTTAGATTTGTGCTGTCGACGGACGCGTCGTTGTACTCTGTGCTGTAGCCGCCCCGGAGCATCAGTTCGTCGGCGTTCTCGTCGGACGTCTCTGGGCCTGAGTCGGCCGCGGTGGAGATGGAGGCCGAGGAGGTGGCGGCCGCAGATGTCACCTCAGCCTCGACTAGTTCCCGTTGCTCCGGCGTCATGCCGTCACCGTCGTCGTAGTGTTCCGTGGAGGTCGCTCCGGCAGTGGTGGAGGCGGCTGCGTCGGCGGTGGAGGCTGCGGCGGTCGACGGCGGTGTCGGAGAGTGCTGGTCCCCTCGCCCGTACCTCCGGTGCACGTAACCGGAAGTGTCACCTCCACCGCCACCGCCACCAAACTCTTCGCCCGGCGACGGCAGACCGCCACCCACCCCACCGCCCCCGTGCCCGGCCCCGTAATCGCCGCCTCCACCGCCGTGCGACTCTTCGCGATTCTTGTACTTGATGAAGTATACTTCGGGCTTGAGCGGCTGCGTGACCGGCGGCGGCGGTATGTGTATGGGCGGCGCCTCTTCCTGCTTGGGGTGCAGCACGTAGATGAGCGTCTTGTCGGCGGGCTGAGGCGGCGGCGGCGGTATGATGGGTGCGGTGGGTGATGGCGCGGTGGGTGACTTGATGAACACTATCTGATAGTTCTTCTTGGGCGTCACGTTGGGTAGGATGACGCGCTGCTTGCGTGGCGGATCGTCGTCAGGTGGTGCCACGTGCACGTATATCGACTTGTGTATGACTGGAGCCAGGTTGTGTGGCGCATAATCGTAACCGCCCGAACCGTAGCCCGAAGCTCCACTACCACCGCCTCCGCCTCCACCGCCGCCACCGCCACCTCCATAACCGGCTAAAGGAGAGTCCTGACCGAAATCGGTCGGATCGAACGACGGAGTCATGTGCTGCTGGTGACCACCACTCGAACCACCGTCGAATAGTGACGAGTGATGGAGTTGTGACGCCGGCCCGGTAAACGGCGACGACGACGATTGGTGTTGTGGCGAAGCGGAAAATGGTGACGAAGATGACGGCATGGCCGGTGCACCGGTCGACCGGAACTCGACGGACGGCACAAAGTCTGTGAAACCGGTCGTGTCGAAGTTCATGTTCTCGCCGCCGCCGCCGCCTCCACCGCCGCCTCCACCACCCAACGACTGGTAAAAGCTGTCTGAAGGATCCGTGTAACCAGCGCCTCCACCGCCGCCAGTGCTGCCCGGAGACGAAGGCCCGAACCCAAAGTGATCGGCGGCCGACTGTCCCCGACCTTGGTGGTAGTACTGATGCGAATGGTGCTGTTGCTGCGACTGCGGCGATTGCTGCTGCTGATGCTGCTGCTGTTGGTGCGGCTGTTGTTGTTGATGATTATGTTGCAGTTGCTGTTGGTGCTGCGGGTGTTGGTGGTGGTGCTGGTGGTGTTGCTGCTGCTGCTGCTGCTGCTGCTGGTTCCGGGGGTGTTTGTAGTGCTGCATATGCTGGTGCATGAAGTATGGCCTGGAGCTGGAAGTCTCGAGCCCCAGGTCCGAAGCGCTGACCGGCACGATGAACCTCTTCAGCTGCCGGTCGCTGGAGCCACCGTCCACATGGGTCGCCTCCAGAGCACTGTCATCGTCGTACAGCGACCTTTTCGTTTCCTCGTAAGACGCGGCCGCCGTTTCCTCTTCGACCGACGACGATAAATCACAACTGACGCACACCACCGTGAAACAAGCGACCGCGGACAGCTGTCGAAAACGTGTGATATTACAATGTGTCATTAAAATAATATATTGTTTTATACGTCAAGTGTATATACTGAAAAATGTAAATTGCGCCTAAAACGCAACATAATAATGTGTTATATTACGACTATATATACCACCGTCCACCACAACTAGTCGTGGTAACTGGTCACACTCGCCCCGTGTTCCTACACCTCGGTTAACACCTTGGGTAAAAATAACACGACGACGTGATAATATGTACCTACTGTATTTTTGTATGATAAATAACTAGCCTTTTAACTCGCCTGATTCTGGAAATCTACGGTCACCTTACACCTCGATTTACCAAGACGTGTATATTTAACCAAATAATATCACATTAAAAGCTAGCAAGTCGAGGTATACCCATTCGACCATTATTGATTATGGCCTAAGAATATCTCAAATACATGACTATATTATATTTGTAAATCTGTCGAGGAGTTATTCTGGCCAAACGTCCTTCGTATTATTCTCGCTGAACAGAAATGATCAAGTATATTACGCTACACGACTTTTTATCAACATTCATTATAGATAAATGAAAAATTATGGTACATCATAAGACGTTTTTAATGGGAACTACAGTAGTTTTCGTTCAGGTGGTGCACATTATTGCAATGTATTACGAACGTGCCGAGGAGACTACAATATTATATTTCATTTTTAATATTTAATTATTTCGGAAACACAACACGACATGCCGAAATTTGCCAACAGTTTTTTTTTTTAGCGTATTTCCCAATGGTACTATAGCTCATATCCGTTCAAGCTCGTCCCATCTCGGAGATTTAACAAAACGTCTGCCAGATTGTATTAACAAAAAAAAAAAAATAACAATTATTTTTTTTTTTTTTACTATTATTTTTTCTTATTACCACGCCGCGGAGATTGTGAGTTGATACAAATCGTCGAAAATACATACACGTAATATTGAAAATAATATTATAATAATAAAACCCGTGGAAAAAAGGAAACATCATGTAAATTATTCCAAATAATTTAGTAGACTTTATTCTCAGAAATACGTCAAACAATATAGAGTCAAGACAATATATAACGTCAAAATATATAGTGACCCACGAACAGCAAAGAATGCGATGAATGTGACAAATGTTTGTGCGCATTGTCCGGACTGGACGTAAAAACAAAACACACAAACGAATTACAGCTAGACAACATCCCCCATTGTTAAAAACGTTGGGATAGTTTCTATTGCATGGGATTTTTTTTTTTCAATCGCAGAAAACGAGAGTATTTTTCTATTTTCATTCTGTTCGGTTGTCCGTTGTCACATTGTGCTAGGAATTTTATACACTTGTATATAAATAGCGAGCAGAAGAACTAAAGTCGTATGTGCAAAAATGTATTTCGAAGATATTTTCCGAAAGCGCTAAAACGTATAAAACGCGCTATGATTTTTCCGATATGACTTCGGGGTTCGTCCTCCCGAATAATTTCGGCTTTCGAAACACGCACGCAATGATAATAATAAGAAATAAACGAAAAGGTGATGGAAAATGCATTCTTACCGAGTAAAAATACTTGACGCCCATTTGTGCCGGGTTTCACGACAAACAGTAGATATTATGGTTGGCGTCTTCCACCGTATGAAACATGTCCGAACTCGTGACCGCAGTTAACGTGACCAAACTAAACGTGAAAATGTATGACTGTGGACGCGGTCGGATTTTCCGTTCAGTGGAAAACTAGAGGTGGAGGGGAAGCGGCCGGTCGGCGGCTGTATAGGAATGCGGGAAATTACTGCGAGGGAAGGAGAAACAGACTTTCTTAAACGGCGTAAAGGGCCGTCGGATAATGCAATGCGCGTGGGCACTAATTGTCTGGACTATACTGTTATAATATCACAATGAATACATTTATAACGATCATACTAAAACGGCAAAAAGAAAAAAAAACACTCTAATGATTGCTTTTCTATAATAGCATAAGTTTTCATCGATTTATGGTAATATAATTAATAATATTATATTATAGAGACGTTTTATACAACACATAAATGTCGTAGGTAATCAAAAAAACGTTAAACTGGAATTCATCTGGGAAAATAACATCAATTTTATATTTAAAAAGGCATTTCAATAACCCCTAGATTTACTAATGTTATAATCTTTTGTATTTTTTTTTTCTGTTCACAGGTAAGATATTATAATGTGATTTCGAACGTAATAATATTATGCTCACCTCTTGCAAATCAGGTAATTCGGGTATACACCGTTATTATATTATTAAAATTTAGATTGTTGAAAACTCCGAAAACTTTCTCTCTTTTTAAACGCACCCATCTACAACAGCCAACAGCCTTTTTTTATCTACGAACTCTACTCAGCAGTTGCGGTATCGGATGTTAACATTTCTGAGCGAATTTTCAACCACCAGCTGATATTTTATCCGTATTATTATATCTCGAAAGCTTCATCGCACAATATATCAACGCGATACGTACAGTTAGGTTATAGTGCGTGTACTTGTGAATCGGCAATAAAATATTATAAAAATAATATGCTATTATTTTCTCGTAAACGAACACACTACACACAATAGTTCTACAGATCAGTTCAATGGGATAAAAATCATATCGAAAGACCGTCTTTTAGATGATTCGTGTTAATTCGTTAAAACGCCATTAAGGCCGAGGCGTTTGTGTGTAATGGCACGAATCCAAAACGCGTCAACACGCACCCTTTCACCGCGGCTCGTTTCAAAGTTTTCCAGATTTGTTCTTCTCCAATGACTTTCCATAATAATTTTGCTCGCGATGAGTCCGAAACAACAATTGCAGTCTCGTCGTATAATGCAGCAGCAGTTGAACATTACGGCACAATCGAGCCGAAAAAATAATTCGATCGTTATAATTTCAGCCTACTAAATCTCAAAATTTAAAAAAAAAAATCATTATTAGATAATTTTTATTAGATATACTACATAATTAAGTACCCGTACAACTTGATTTAATTGTTCAAATACTACACAGTGAATAAGTAAAGAAATTAAGGGCAAAAATAAAATATGGTTGAAACATATTTGTAGACAACAAAATACAACCTTTTCATTTTAAATATTTAAATTTTAGTCATAAATGACTCTGTATTGTATCTACAATACGAACAAAGTATATTCGGTGTTAATTTATTTAGTTCAAAAAAGGAGAAAGAAAATCATGATGTTAATTTGATTTAAGCTTTCAATACTCACTGGTTACTGGTTATTTTAAATTTAAAAATGCCTGTCACTTTGTATGTAAGATTATTGTATATTTATGTTGTCTGCCTGGTAATTTTTATTAATGCTAATTACTCTCCTCAACACAGTTAAAAACCTAGCTCAGCGCTTGCAATCAAAAGCAATCATTTTGTCTATTCAACCAGTATAAAATATATTTTAGAGTATACCTAATATATAAAATAAAACAATAATTTTTATGAACATTTAGTCAACCGCCATGTGAATGAAAAATTAAATTTAAACACTAATAGATAATATTATTAAAATGGTATATTATTACATTACAAAATACTAAGAGAACATTTACCTTAGGAAACGACTGGGCAAAGTTGTTAAAATACTTGTAATTGACTATAACCCATGTATTGTCTTCTATCGAAACTTAGTTAAAGTTCATATTTCACAATATTTCGGTATCTAGTTAAAAAAAAATGTCAACTGACATGAAGAAACTGCAAAGCTATTGTAACATACTAATATATAATTACATTATATGTTATATTGTAAAACCAAATTAATAAATTGACAATAAAAAGTTTTACAAATTCAACAAATACAAAAATAACCATTAATTTCAGAGCGTTTCGACATTTAAAATAACATATGATGTACCTACCTTATGTTAGGTCAACTATGACGCGTAAAGCTTTGTAAAGCTTCGTAGAATAAAATTAATTTATCCCCGTGTGTCAAATGTATATACGACGCTAAAAAAAACATGTGAAAAATACCTTTTTGTGTGTATAAATAAATCAGTGAGATATTACAATTATATTGTGAAGCCATAATTCCATTATAATTTCTCATTTTTATTGCGGCCAGTTGTTTTTAAATATGATTAACACTCACTGTTCGTAATACAATTTATTTAATCAAGTTTAAATAAAAACAGTGCATTATTGATTAATTACATTAAAAGTTAAAAAATTAAGTTACACTGTCATGTTGGAAGACAAGATTTTATAAAATTAAAAAAGACTTTTGAATTGTCCCTTGAAAAGTTATTGGCACGTTTTCTAAAAACCAATCTCATTTCTAATTTGATCGCTTTTTTCCCCTAGTACGAAGTGATCACATTTCGAACGTAATAATATACAGCAAACATAAAGTTTTCTGTAGCATCTTCATTAAGTACACCCTATTAATCTTCCTACTTTTTAATTTTTGTATTGATTATCAATAAATTATAAGAATTTAGTAGGTACTATAAATATCACTTTACATTTAATTAAAATGTTATTTTCAAGAAAATGGTAAAATTTAATAAAATCAATGCAAACTGAAATATGTTTTTCGTTATTAAAATAAATCTCCATAAACCAATATTTTAACTTAGATCAATCAGCTATCGTATGCATACCTATATAATATATATAATTGATGATTATTTAATAGATGGTATCTAAATAATTAGTGTTAAAATATACGTTAGAGATAATACAAAAATTATTTGTTTATTATAATTAATAATAATAGTACCAACCCAAGCAATCTGCATATTATTCAACAGCCAAATATAATAATCAAGTTTAATATTTTTCCATTTATGAATATTGTTGTTGAAATTTACCTATAGGCTGTAATACAAATTTTTATCAGGTCAAAATGAGTTTGTTCAATAACGTTAACACAATATATTATATATTGCATTAAGAAAAACCTATAAATTGGATTGCTTATATAATTTATGTTACGAATACAACAATCGCCACAAAGAAAAACTAATAACAATCGGATAATCACACTACCTGCTGTGACGAAAACGATTTCAATAATGCAATAAATTTTATCATCATAGGCGAGACTGAGGCCTGGGCCTTATGTCACAACGTAATCCACATATTATATTTTTGTTGAAATAATTATCTAAGTCGATTAATTTCTTTAAATTAAATAATTCTGATTTACTGATTGAATACCATTCAAAACTGTAAAAAAAAAAACTGGACTCTGTAACGTTGGCATAATATTCTAATATCCATTATAAGACAAATATTATACACATATTTTAAAAATAATGAAATTCGAAAAATTGACTTTATTTTTGAACGATTGTATGATCAACAGTGGTGAGCAACTATAAAAAGATATGTTTAATAAAATGTCTCGCATAATATTATCCTATAGTTTTCGTTGTCCTTTTTATAGTCACTATACTTGTACAGAGGAGTCTTTCAGATTTTACCGATAAAAAATCCTTACTCATTTGCATGAAAATATAGACTGCCCACGGATGCTGGCAAACGAAAAATAAACATATTGAATCCAAATGCGTTTTAATCGCTCTTTGATGGATAATAATTGTTCATATTGCGATTATAACAGAAACCCTTTTTAAAACATTTAAATGCGGGACGTATTATTACGCTCAATGTAAATTTACATGTTTAATATTTGTTGATGTTTGATCAAATGTAGGTACAACCACTGCAGCAGTAATAGTTGACTATCACGGTTTCGTATACACTACATTATACTTTTATGCGGTCGAAATGTTCATACGTTCGTAATGTATGATGACTTATACACGATTACGTGAATCGTGCGCAAGTATTATTAGAGAACAAAACGAGGTCGCATTATCGTTAATGTCTCGCATATTATTATGTGCGTTTGGATTTCGTTCAAAGTACCTATATACGAGAGTACGTCGAATGGTACATAATACAATAAAATGACACCGAGTTTTCCGTAATTTGAGTATAATACGAGTCGAGTTAGTTATAATAATAACAACAATATAACATATTAATCTAGTTGCGGCCGCACACCAGTGATAGCTTAATATTATATTGTACACGTCTTGTTTCATATAGATAATAATAATTATAATTATGTGCACGTCATATTTGCATTATGCGTTGCATGCACTATACATACGAATACGGTGCAATCGTAATAATATTAATATGTATATATATATATATATGTGTATAGGTACCTAGGTGATACAAATTAATGTTGACACGTCCGAGTTCCTACACGGCAATGCATCTGCTGGCAATTCCATTTAAACCACATAATATTATCCATCATACGCACGCCGCCGCTGTTATTGGAACACACTACTACTCGAGACGATTAAATTATTAATATGACTGGTTACATATCATAGCGTGTACCTACTGTTGTAATGATGATAATATAATGATAAGAATAATAAATAGTTTGAATTTCGTGAGACAATAATAATTCTATGACGTTATAATATAATACGTAGCTCGTGTGAAGTATATGCGGTTTGCCATGTGCCTGCGTGTTCACGTCACAATAATTTACAGAAAAGGTATGCACTTTCGCCAACCGCGTGGTTAAGGGGTTACCGCGTACAAAATATACCGAATATTCGAAAATATTCGACTACTCCACCGCGCGGCGGTCGGGTGCCAGCTATAGGTGTGGTTATTAATGACTGCCTATAGCCAAATCGTTTTGCCCGAACGGTATTATTATCGTTTTTATTATCGTTATTTCGTCTGATGAATATGACCAGAAAGTATTCTTAACGCGGGTCGCACGCGGCGGCGGTCTGCGCGGACCACGGTTATGGTGGAATAGTAAATAACACGGTATCGATCCGTACGTACTCGGTTTATAGGTTACCG